GGGGGACCTATTAAGGAACATACTACATAACTTAATCCAGGGCTCACCTGACTTCTGCATCTTTCAGGGCTACTTAAGCCAAATGAAGAGGCAGGGCGTGCAGTAAAGGATGGACCTGAACACATGGCACTCATATAGCTCACAGTAAGTACTATTTGTAGACACTCTATGTATACACCTACACACATACAAATCGCGAGTGTGTGTAGGGATCCCCTCCTTCCCTCTACCTGACGCATCAGTAACTGCAGGCCCCAGTGGTAATCGTTGCCAACTCCAGCAAGTTCTTACTACAATGCATGCTCAAAGTCGCACTTTCATGCCGCAGAAGGGACTGTCTCAAATGCAAATCGACATCCTGCAAATAATGCAGCTATTACTGTAAGGACCACAGAAATCAGAAAGGCACGCACCCTTTCCGTAATATATCCAGCTGGCCACAGCTACCCTGCCACTAGCTGGAACAACTCCCTCCTGGTTCAGCCAAAGCATGGGGATTTTTGAATATTAAGGGGGGAGCCCTCCAATAAGGGTCTTGGTTTAAGGGTCTTGGTATATTGGGGTGGATATTAGTGATATTAGGCCCTCCACATAGAAACTGAAAGAATGTAGGAATGACTGCGGTATCCGTTCCTGGATTTTGGCAAAGGGACACGGCGTCTACGAACATGGGCTCGTAGCCGTAGCCGCTTTGACCTGAAACAAATTGGGATCACAAGCGTGGGCAAAGAAGCCTTCAATCCGGCACCTTTGGAGGGACTTGCACATAAAAATAGCATGAATACTAGTAGTAATAATTATACTAATAAGAATAAGAATAATAATGAGAATAAATAGGCATTCAACTCAGAAGTGCTTTGAGTGTGAAGACCTCAAGCCCAACAGCTAGAAGATGGTAATCAGCAATAACAAATGTGCTGGAAACCTTCTGAAAAAGCATCGTCCAGTCACTAGTCCGGGCATGCGTTCTGAGCCCAAGAGACCCCGATAGCCTTTTGTATATGCCGCGGGCCCAAACTTCATACACAGCTACATGGCCTCTTTGGGGATTATTGGGGTTGTATACTCTTGAGCCCTCATCTCGTCCTAGTCCGAGCTGGTAGGCTAGCGGACTTGGGATCAGAGGTGCCGTTGAACGTCTGTTCATGGACTTCTATGGTGCACAGGTCAGGATTAGAAGGCTGGGCGTAGAGGTACCAAAACAGCACAAATCTCGAATAGGAAACCTGTCGAAACTTGTCTCCTACATAATAGGATCTCCTGTCCTGGAGGTGTTTCCAGGATATTTGAGGCAACCCCCGCTCTATGGTGGGTACCACTGCATGCATCATGAGCCTGTCTGTATGGTTTACAGCATGACACTGGCCCTCCCCTTGCGACAGTTTCATAGCCAAACAAACCCTAAACCCTAAA